ACGCAGGAACCAGGGAGACCGGGTACAAGGGGAGATAACAGAAATAACTAAGAAATAAGGTCTGAACAGCAACGTAGAAATTAACTAGATTGAAAATGAATACAAAAATACATAAAACTCAAACACTGGGTCACACGACCCAGTACCGTGACAAGCCCTTTGTTTAGGTGGACCGCTGCGCTCCTAGCACCAGCTGTGGGAAATCTTCACAAGGTCACTTTTGGGCCACACACAGACAAGGTATTCTTTGTTCACATATATGCCTGTGTAACACACCATAATGAATTTATGCATATTCATGTACTTTAATAAAGAGCAGTGTTACGAGGAAGCAGACGAGAGCAACTGGGGTCAAGCGAAGGAACGGCGCTGTCACTGTTCTCTCTCTCTCGTGCACGAGATCAAAGAGCTCTGGTTGGTGTCCAATGCTTTTTGCTGTTGTAGTAGGATTGTCTCGTTCCAGCGAGACAGAACCATCACTGGTCATCAAATATAACATTTTCAGAAGATAAATGAAGTGTTTTGTAATTTTCCTGTGAACGGGCCCTGGTTTTGACGTTACATCATTTGAAACATACAGCAGACATACGAGACCAATAAAATACATTATTACTACCAGTCAGATGTTGTTTGTAGGTTTCTGACCCACATGCATGGAAATGGTTTGGCCTCATGTATTATTGTTCAATAATACTAATGGTTTTGCTAATGCTAAGTGCAAAAATAATAAAGCTTACTACTTAATTGTCATACAGCTAATTGGAGATATTAGTTATTTTGTTTCACTAACACTTTTGCCTAACACAGTCAATGGTTCATTTCCTGCCAGGGACACATATTCCCTTTGGGGTTGTGTCAGGAGGGTCAAATCAAACACGTGGAGCTGCCCACTGTGGCGACCCCTTCTGAAAGTAGTTGTCGCTCTCTCCTTCTTGCTGTGCACCTTCCTAACATCAAACCAGTTTGAACATGTTGGTGTTCATATTGTGCATGTTGAAAAACATGGAGATGAAAGAGAAAAACAAAACATATGCAAGGACCATGAGCGCAAAGCATGAAGATGAAGATTTTGGCCATTCGTTTTCACCAGAATCTTTATTAACACAAGTATCTGCACTTCTGAGTGAACAACTTGTGTATGTTTGTCTTCTGAGGTTATTATTATAACTATTGTTTTAAGTTGGCTGTACTTCCAGGTTACCTCGTTTCTTGTCCATTTTCACTCAACTATCAACTAAACACTTAGCTCAGTATGGGTACACCTAAAACCTTATTCCACTTGCCAGATTGTCTCTGTGTCTGCAGTTATTCTGCATTACAACCTTTTTGGTGTTGTTTATTCTTTAAGAACATTAAAAATGTAAAACCTTTTTGTTCGCCCCTCATTTTTGCCTTTTTTCCCTGCTCCCTGTCTGCTCTCATGGCTTGCTGCCTGTGACCCCTGCTTTGTGTATGCTGGATTATGGAGTTTGACAGAGATGCCAGAATAACAGTGGAACTTTGTGTCATATCCAAAGGTCAAATGTAATTATCAAGCCAACAAGTTCTATACATTCTGTTCATTCTTTAGACTTAGACAAGCTTCTTTCCACAGGTTTTATGAGTCAAAGGAGTTAAACAAGTGGAGATGGTTAATGAATTATTTGTGTTTACCAGGGCAACAGATTTTACTCAGATAATCCAGTCTTTACTATATAGTTTGCTACAAAAGAAAGAGATTATGAACAAATGTGCATTATCTCTATGTATCTTACTTTTGGGAGCATTCACATGCTTCAGGTTCAGGTAGTCAAGCTGAACATGAGGTGCTAACACTCTTACCTCTTGTTCACTTTGAATGGTGTGACATTGTGCTTTACAAGACCAAATTATGGATCCTTTTCTTGCATGCAGTGAAATGTTCAGCTTTTTAAATAGTAAGGCAGTTGCCAGTCAGTCAAATCATGGTTATTCAAATATTCCAAAGGTGCTGTGAGCCAATTAAATCACTACAGAGAACGATTCTGATGGAGTGAGGTCGTTGCTTGTGCAGCCTGTTATTTGGCATCAAAATGCAGCCGTTAAAAGTTGATCATTATGGTGAGTAATCGCCCTATTTTATAAGGACAAAGTTAGGTTACTGGCTTGGCTAATGCTAATTTCTAATCAGAGATCTGTTAACTTGCTTTGTGAGTGACTGCTTGTTGTCAGTGGCCATGCTAGTACCCCAAATGTCTTTTTTGCAAACTGTCAAATTGTGGAAGAACTGTAAATCCTCCTATAGTGATTTATAGCTGTGCATGGGTACAGTAGCAGTAGCAACATCTCTGCTTCAAATTCAACATTTATCTTCTGTTTCTGCTTCTCTCTCTTCTCATGTTTTCTACAGGGAGTGCAGAATTATTAGGCAAATGAGTATTTTGTCCACTTCATCCTCTTCATGCATGTTGTCTTACTCCAAGCTGTATAGGCTCGAAAGCCTACTACCAACTAAGCATATTAGGTGATGTGCATCTCTGTAATGAGAAGGGGTGTGGTCTAATGACATCAACACCCTATATCAGGTGTGCATAATTATTAGGCAACGTCCTTTCCTTTACAAAATGGGTCAAAAGAAGGACTTGACAGGCTCAGAAAAGTCAAAAATAGTGAGATATCTTGCAGAGGGATGCAGCAGTCTCAAAATTGCAAAGCTTCTGTATCGTGATCATCGAACAATCAAGCGTTTCATTCAAAATAGTCAACAGGGTCGCAAGAAGCGTGTGGTTTTGAATGTCAGAAATGTATATTTGTGAATGTGGAGATGTTATATTGGTTTCACTGGTAAAAATAAATAATTGAAATGGGTATATATTTGTTTTTTGTTAAGTTGCCTAATAATTATGCACAGTAATAGTCACCTGCACACACAGATATCCCCCTAAAATAGCTAAAACTAAAAACAAACTAAAAACTACTTCCAAAAACATTCAGCTTTGATATTAATGAGTTTTTTGGGTTCATTGAGAACATGGTTGTTGTTCAATAATAAAATTATTCCTCAAAAATACAACTTGCCTAATAATTCTGCACTCCCTGTAATTCTGCACTCCCTGTATGATGTAAAGGCATAAAGTTCCCAACAATTCCTATGAAATGTCCTCGAAATTACTCAGTACTCAGGAAGAAACAGGAAGTGAGCCACATGTTGTCATTACTACTCTCCACCATAACTATACACAAATCCTTCTTTTATTGAAAGCAGAGCTTGTGAGTTTAAAGCTGTGAGCAAACAGTATTATTGCCCAGTGGCAGTTACTCAGACAGTGTGAGACCTTTAGTTGTTCTCTTTTCTCATTGTACCTGTTTGCAATGGTCTGTACCTGAGTTCTCTGCTATTTTGGTCACTGACCCTTAGCCACAAGTTAACCACAGAAGTCATTTGATATACATTTTACTGTGATGATGATCCTGTGGTGTTTGTCCACAGACTACAGTGGAAAAACATCCTAAATTTAGACATTATGTGTCCTCTGACCATCCCACATCTGGTGAGCTGACGCTTAGAGGGTTAGGCCCTGATGCAACAGCACGTCATCGTTAACATTATCAGCATTACAAGTCCATCCCAGAAAAATATTCATTTGTAACAAAGCAGACATAGTAAATGTAAAAAGAAAAACATACACTTAAATTGTAATGGAAGGCTATTAAGATAGAGCTAAAAGGAACTAAAGAGAAACGTGAGAAGAAAGAAGAGTCTTAGTTTCCCTCTCGAGTAAAGCCAACCAGCCTGATAAATATCTCTATAGCCATGAGAAAATCGCCTTAGCTGTTTAGAGGAGCAATTAGTCTCAAGAATTCGGGTTAATGAGGTACAATTTAAAAAAATATATAAATATTTTAAGGAATCCAATGACTCTTCTTTGTGCCAGTATCCCCTTAAGAGCTTTCCTCAGTGTTATATTGGGCAGCTTCAGGGCTTTGACTCCTTGTGGTTTCTCTCTCCCTCAAGGAACTGGTTTCTGTGGGCACCTTGGGTTAAAAGTGTAAATAAGCTATAAATGAAACACCTCTTTATCCTGTCTATTACTATGTAGAAACCTTGCATCAGGCCCTAAAAACCCTCACTGGTGACTGATACTCGCTTCATGCTCATGTCTGTTATTAAACCTTTGAAATAAGTATGAATTTAACATTGAGAGATAAGATCAACATAAACTTTAATTCAAAGACTTCAAAGACACTTTTTAGCCACGTTTGAAATTGCAGGAGGAAATGCGAGAGAGACCTTGAAGTGGCTCGACCCCAGCGTCCCGGATCTAATTTAAGTGCTAGGTAAATTATTTTAATCCCCCAAAGTTCCTGCTCCGGGTAGTAATTTTCAAAGAGCACAAACTTTGCAGGTGGAGCTTGCAGGAATAAAGCTTCTTTGATTGGTTGAGTGCCTATTTACTGTGTTCCTCTCTATTCAATTACTGAGGAAGTTTGTTATAGCAATATGTGACAACTCAGCAGCCTGTTATCTCAAATAAAATGTATCCTGTAAATGAAACACTATTTAAAAACAACACTTAAAGCACCGTGAAACAGTGAAGTGAATATAACTGATCAAGTCTGGGAAACCTTGAGTTTTTATTATTTAAGTTGTTATAAGGAACCATTTGAGGAATAGCTACAAAAACTTTCTCCTCGGATCCCAGATCAAAGTTTATGTCAGCTTGATTGAAAGCATCCTTCTGTTCAGTACCTCAGTATCGTTTGGTAACATGACCAGGGCAATTAGGAACAAACCGAACAGGATCGTTAGAACTGCTGGTAAGATTATTGGTCAACAACAAGATTCACTGGAAAAGCTGTATCAGTATGTTGTCTTAAGGAAAGTCTGGTTTATTGTTGCTGACCGTGAACACCCTCTTCATTCTGACTTTGAATTAAATCCCTCAGGATGATGCTTTTACACAATAAAAGAGAGACATACTTTTGACTGATCACCTCAGTATTGCATTTCATCACTGGCTGATCAATATAGGACAAAAATGACACAGATCTTTATTAACTTTATTTATTCTGCAATGGGTTCATGAACAAAAACCCTTTGTCAGGATAATAATTAATCCATGCAATGTTTACATAGCTCCTAATTCACAGACCACGAGCCCCACGCATGTCTGATTTACTACAGTACGATATCCATATTATTTTTTTCTCATGGAACAGAGACATTTTCTGTTTCTCTAAGAAAATTTCACTGTGCAAAAAGACGATCTTAAACAGAATCAAGCTGTCACAGCATTTTTCTCTCAGAAAGATAAACTAATATAACCAAGTGCAATAACATATTCTCATGCAGTAGACACCATAATAATGTTTTAGTATTCTACATATGATCTATATTTGAAATGATATATTTCACAGTATACAAACCGTTATTCAGCACCTTATTATACAAAGCAATAAAACACATGGAGGAAATCCCGAAAAGTTGATTCTATTCATCTGGACGTAGCGTCCCCAACCTTATAAACAGGTTGGTGACGCTACGTCCAGATGAGACTGAAGAAGTCACTTGAATGAGTGACAAAATGTTTCTCCCACTGAAAATGCTACGTCCACATGAACAAAATCAACTTTTTGAGATTTCCCTACATGGATGATTGCGCATGCATTAAGACACGTGGAGGAAGAATCATTACAGCACAGTATGCTGTAAATAGGATGAAGGTCAGAGAACCATTCCTGAATTTCATTCAGGTTCTGTTGTTTTTTTGTGATTAAAGGCTCATTTATGGTGTTTTATCCTTGTAAATCTGAAATTTCAATACACGAGAAAAACCAGGCTCTCATTCTTTCTTTCTTTCTTAACTGGAGGAATTTCTAGTAACGCTCACAGTGATGCTCTCTGCAATCACTAATAACTAACTCACTACCTGCTGTAGATATCAACTTATATCTGCTGTAACCTGTTTTTTAAAAAAAATAGTCCTGCTGTAGGTGCATGTGGTGAACTGAGCCACAGACTGCGTTGTGCACATGCTTAGATCTCAATGTCGAGAACCTGGCGCAGACAATGGCTCACGTCGGTGGGGATGTCCACAAGACTGAGCTCGTTTCCATCCAGTCGCACCATTAAGAGTCTGGAGAAATTTGTCACGTCCACGACACTGCAGAAGCTACCCACAGTAAACTCTACAGGCAAGGGAAAGAGTGGAGACAGCGATGAGTTTACTTTCATGCAAAACTGTAAAATGGCAGTATAACTGTATAAATCACCTCAGGAAAAGACATGTCCAACATCTCATTTCTCAAAATCCAGCAAACAACTTTTTGTTCTCGTTTAATCTAAGTGGCAGTACATATACGATCATGAACTTTCTTATTGTGAAATCAACAAAACTGGCTTAAAGGTAGAAAACTGCATGGTAATGTAGAGCATGACGATTAAAAAAATGATTTCTTCAAAGAAACTCTCACCTTTGATCTGATTGGCTTGCAGGTAAAGGTATTGCAGCGTGGTGCTAACTGAAGGAATTCTCTCCAGTTTGTTGAAGCTCAGGTCCAGCTCCACCAGCCCAGACACGTTAAACGTGTTAGCGGGGATGCCTTTATTTGTTAGCAAGTTATGCGACATCCTAAAATACTGTAGCTGAGAGAAGAGGCTCAGGAATCCCTCAGGTATAGAGTCGATGGCATTGTACTCCAGGTAGAGCTGATGCAGGTATGCAGGGAGCGGAGCTGGGACCTGGGACAGTGACACAACATCTCTGAACGAGATTACCTTGGTTGCTTAATAATGCATTTAGAAACAAACAGATAAACAATTACCTTTGTCAACTTGTTGCTACTGAGGTCAAGCAGTGTGAGGGAGTTCAGCCCCTTCAGTGATGAGCCCACCTCTGAGAGAGCATTATCATGAAGGTACAAGATAGTGAGGTTATCCATTCCCTCTAGGTCTGCAGGTGACACCTAGGTAAAAGTGGCAATAGCCGTAAAGCATATCGTAATGTCTCAACTGATGTTGGACTAAAACAGGAGGGCTGTGAATGTGAATTTTTGAAGATTTACCTTCTCAATCATGTTGTTATCCATTCTCAGGTCTCTCAGGCAGAGGGGAAGGTTTGAAGGAATGCTGGTCAAATTATTGTATTGTAGATATAAACGCTCAAGTTCCCCCAGCTTCACAAATGCCTGCAAAATGATCAAGATGAGCAGGTATAAAACCCAAAAAGAAAAATCATGCTAAATTATGTGGTGGTTTTACAATAAAAATGATGAAAGGGGCCTTTTCAGAGCACAGATGCATTATTGTCGGTTGTGATATTGAGATGATATTACACTACATCTTTTTATGTGTTTGCAAACGACCGGCTAAGTTTCAACTAGCATTCAAACTGATGGTTACAGTGCGTGAATGTACGTGAATGTGTTTATCAGTGTGTTTCACTGGAGAAAGAGACTTTATGCTGAGGTTTGTAGACCACAAGGTTTGTGGCTCTGATGTAGCAAGCTGCTGTCTGGTTTAGTGTGAGCATGTGCTCTGCTGATCACACTGCTTTACCCATACATGTTTCAAATTATAACAAGTTTATTATATGATGACAGAAAACTAACCACAATATTTATTCATGTTTTTTTCCCCTTTTGGTTTCTTCTTTTCTTTAAAAAAACAGATAACACAGGAAATTAACTTGAGGATTAAGAACAGACAGCAATAAAAGAAAACCGACTCGGGCTGTTTGACACCTGTCAGCCATTGTACCGCTATTTATAGTGATGTGTGTCTGGATGTGCCTATGACTACGTGTTTACCTTCTTGCCAATTGATTCAGATGTCAGCTGGTTGAAATGCAACATAAGCCACACCAGATTGGTTGCATTGCTTAGAGCCGAGTCAGGCAAAGATGTGATGGCATTGTGTTGAAGATACAAGTATTTGATATGGGAGGGAATCGGTGGCACGGTGGTAAGGCCTCGCCCATTACAGTACATAGCAACGGGGAAGGAAGAGGGGCAGTCACACTCGTCAGGACACGCCGACACACTGTATGCTCTGTCTGCATACTGGGAGCCATAAAAGTATCCTTGGCTCTGCCAGTAATTTGTCCAGGAGTTCCATCCATGGCAGAGAACGAGGGGAATCAGGGCAGACAAAAGGAAAATCACCTGACGCATGATGGAAGGAAGTCACTCAAATCTTAACTGTAATGTAACACAGGGAGAACAGAGGGACATGCAGTGGTATTAAAAAGGCCAAAAAATAGAAAAAGTTATTCACAATCACCAAAATGTTCGAGATTTATAATCTTACAGATGTTTTAGAACGTTTTGAAATGCTCAAACATGTGAAATTAGACATTTAAAAGAACAAAAAAAAAATCTTTCAGAAGTATAACTGCCAACTTTAACTAAATCTGTTATTCTTCTGTCCTACTTAGGTTTAAGGTGCAGTGCAGGCATGGACTTCATTTGGAAATATTGCTGCCTGCAGGCAGCCACATTCTTACTGGTCTTAGTCCACAGGGAAACTCAGAAAAGCCTTTCCTGGCTTTCTTAAGCCTTCCATGAATGCCAGTTTTGTAATATTCACTCTGTTACCTTAAAAATTAAGGTAAAACATTCAGTGATTATTTTTCCAAAATTATTCTACCCTTACTTCTCATTTAGCCTTGTATGAAACTCAATTTAAAAGAAAACAAAAAGATTTCACACACTTGCATGCACACACAAACACACACACCTACCCGATCAAAGGCACTGGCCCTCTTGTTTCCCGCTCTCTCTCTGAGTGAGTGTGCTCAGGACTGCAGGGTGCTCTGACACACACCCTATGAAAAGTATTTTCTCCCCTCCCTGCTCTCCGTTCCGTCATGCTAGCCCCCTCCACACCCGTCTGTCTGTTCTTGTGCTTTTGATTACTTCCACCCCCTTGTCCAGTTGCCCGCACCCCATTGCATTTGGTCGGGAATGGCCCACAGCTCACTCTGAAGCCTTTTTTCTCCCCCTCCAGTGTGAATGATGTGAGACGCAGTGGCTTTGAGGGATTGTTCCCATCTGCGAGCAGCACATTCAATCCCTCCGTTTCCTCATTTCGAGTGACCCCCTCTCTTTCTTCACAATAAAGGGTAGAAAAATAAAAGTCATACATAAGTGGCAATGATAAAATGATCCAACTTTGGTTCATATGGTGCAAATGCAAATACCTGTGAAAGACTAAAATGAGTAAGAACTTGATATTACATATACTTTAGCTGTAGCACTGCAAAGAAAGTGGAAGTTTTGTTATCGTAGTTTATTGCAGCTACAAACATAAAATCACAGGTGTGCTGTTAGCAGGTGAGACACTCACCAGCCAACTGTGTAATTTGGAATAATGAAAAGCTGGATAATTGGTTGTGTTTTTTTTCTTCTTGCTGCTTTTTTTAGGAGGTCATCATTACAGCTGGAATAACTCAAAGCAAGCATACCTTCATCAGCACACACCTGCGGGAGGTTTTATTGTGATCTGTGTGGGGAAACGATGCAGAGAAAGAAGTACAGCACAGGTCAGTTTTGTTGTAACAGTACACGGTAAAAACCTTGTTACGCCTTGCATGTGCTTGTTTTGTTCTTTCGTAGTTGCTTCAGTGTGCTGACAAGTGTTTTTCCTGTGTTGTGTTGTAACGTGTAAGGCGTTGGTTTAAACATTATTAAACATAATAAGATAACCTTAAGACAGAACCTAGATGCCCTTCGACCTACATAAGTTTTGTTTCATATTTTTTTACATGGGTGGACCCAACTCTTTCTCGTCTACAACAAGCTTACATCTTGTAAAGGGTTAAATGAAACCATGTGTGACAGTCTCTTTATGTTGTCTGTCTGGTTTCAATGTGGGCCTCTTCCTGCTTCTCTATGTTCTCCAACTCAGCGTCCATAAGAACCAGTGTTTCTACTCATTTTCTGCCCTCTCCACATCTTTTCAATCATTGGTTATTCTGAACTTTTATCTCTTCTTTCTATCCCGCTTTTTCTCTCCTCCTTTGATGTAAGCTTGGAAGATCTATAATTTTTCACTAAAATATTATATTTACACATGGTGATGAAATCTCTGAGCTTTAACTATATGAAGGGAAAGATTTTTTGGAAACACATGAAAATATAAACAGTTAGGTCCAATATTTGTTGGGAGAAAGACAAAATATCTGTAGTTTTGCCTCTGCTCACCACCACACTGGATCGCACAGTCAATGTATAATTAAAGTTCAAACTTTCAGTTTTACTTTAGAGGGTTTTTCAGATGATTTGCATGAACTTTTTTCTTGCAGCTTGCTTCAGGTCATTATCCATTTGCACTGTGGAGCTCTGTCCAATCAGTTTTGCAGAATTTGACGCAATCTGAGTTGAGAGTATAGCGTTGTATACTTCAAAATTATTCTGCTGCTTATATTAGCAGTCACATCAGCAATAAAAACTAGTGACCTGGTTCCACTGGTAGCTATATCGACGTTATAACGCTGCCTCCGCCATGTTTGACATATAATGTGGTATGATTTGGGTGATGAGCTATTATTTCCTTCTTCAGATTTTTCTCCTTCCATCATTCTGATAATGATCTTAATCATAGTCTCATCTGTCCATAGATTTGTTTGCAGAGCTATCCGGTTGTTCAGTCTGACGTCACTAGCTGTGTCTGGGCCTAAACTCCGCTGCAGGTCCATATATCAAACGATCACTATGGCATTACTGAGAGTTGAAAAACTTTCTAAAGTCTTTCATCTGTAATAAAATGATCAGTGTTCTGCTCTACCAGGTGTAACAATTGAGTTTAACATCCAGGCATCCATGAAAACGAAATTTATGACATTTAACGGAGTTAGAAGTTAGCAGGGAGTTAGCTCGCTAGCTTCTATCTAAATACAATATAGCATGTCCT